TGGCTTAGAACTCACGCCGGGCGCGTGTGCGTGTGTGCCCAAGATCCCGAGAGGAGAATGGAAGAGAAGGGATTGCGGTGTGACCATCCCCCCTGGGGGGTGATTTCTCTCTTTCTGTCTCTATGTCTCTCTCTGTCTGTCTGGCAAGCACACGTGCCCTATAGCAAAAACCTCTCAAAAAAAAAAAAAATGTGTAGTCACTGATTCCACCTAAAAATTCAGTGTGGAGTGGGCCAGCTAGGTGAAATGGAGGTGAAGGTGCCTGGATCCCACATGGTCAACTGCATGGGTCTAGTCTTGGTTCTGACAGTTTGACAGAAAAACACACCGGGAATGTGTGCACGTGTGTCCAAATCTAAGGAGGGTGGAGGAGAAGGGACTGTGGTATAGACATTCTCCCCCCCCGGGGGGGGGTGCTTTCTCACTTTCTCTTTTTGCCAACCCTCAAACACACACTTCCCTATAGCAAAAGTAAATAAATAAATAAATCTCATGTGGAATTAACCACTAGACCAAGTGTAATTTCACCAACAAAGGATTTATCAAAGCGGTGCTGCTAAAGCTCTTGGGGATATACGGTGTATTTCAGGAATGACCAGTAAAATCATAGCAGTGGGAAACTACATTATCCCAAAAGCTTATGTCATGCCAAATTCTCTCCCGGCAGGCATGGACCCATGCTGGCATTCTCTTAAAACACAAATACAGTTTCCTGGTGGGATGCGCCTCAATCTCAGATGTCATAGCTCAGGTAAGTATGCCCCACAGGTCGGTCCAAACTACTGGGCCCTTCTGGTATACGTGACCGAGCTTCCGGGGGCAGTATATCCATTCCTTCACTGCATGGTGCACGCCTGCCTTCTGCCTGGTTTGGGCAGTCCTGTCATGTCAAATATGAATGAGAAAAGGAAACTCGCTGTAATGTAAGTGTCGTGGAGGCTGGACACTCATGCCACAGGGAAAAGCAGACACGCCCCAAGGCTGACCAGGTGAGAAGGCTGTGGTCTCACCTCCTCCTTGACTACCACATTCACAGGTGTCTACGGTCTGGGGCTGGCTGGAGCTGGGGGCAGATCGTGGCGTCATGGCCCTGTTGGAGGGCTGTCTCTCTGTCTGCCTGACTGTCTCCTTGTCTCACTCATAGAAGAAACATGTTTCAAAAAAAGTATGTAGAGTCTTGGCAGAATAAGGGTTGTATGACTTTAAATTTCTCACTTGAGGTTTCTGCCTTAACTTTCAAAGCGAACATGTGGGACACAGCTATCGAGTCCCACTTAGCATACGTCTGAGTGACCGCAGGGCCGCTGCGTCTTGGCTGGGTGCCCTCTGGGTGGCCGGACACGGGGTGTGCCATCAGGTCTAGAGCGAGCACTCTTAGGAATTATCTTCAACGTTGCTTCTGCCCCACATAGGGCTGCCATTTGCACGGTGTCCCCAGGTTTGGAGAGAACCCGACGTCGGTTCCGTTACCTTTCCACACCTCCAAGAGGGGGCCTGCCGTCCGCTTCCTTTCAGGTCCAGTTCGGCGAGGTCCGGCTCGCAGCCCCGGCTTTCTGGTCTTCCTTTCTTCTTCTACCAAGGTAGCACATGACAAGCTTCAGTGGAAAATTAGATTCAGGTCCTGTCATTTGTAAGTTAGACTTAGCTATTCAGATCAGGGGCTTGGCAGGATGGTTTCTCGGTGAAGGAGGTTAGACTGTGACCTCTAAGCACCCTGCCAATTTCTCCATCCTGTCCACAGCCATTTCCTTGCGTCTTCTCCCAATTACGCAGCTAGTCTTCCAGCCCCCTTTTGCAAATAATCTTACCATTGAACCGTTAGAACCTCCCTGAAGACCAAGAATTAAATTTCCAAATTAACTGTATTCACTTCGTGGATCACAATTAACAGTAATTTAAATTAATTCCTGCTAACATTGTGTGTGTGCGTACCTGAATATCAGCCGACATCCTTCTTTGCTCTGTCGTCGTTAATTCCCTTGTAGAGTTATTAGAAAATGTCATTCTGCTCTTACTTTTAGCATCTTCCGAGAGATGAACTGACGACCTTATTTGCTCTAACCACTTAATGTGAAATGAAGGAAGCACTTCTCACTTACAAGTTGACACCCACAATTCAGCATTTGTAGATACATATGTTTTTTGTTTTTTGAGAGGTTTTTGCTATAGGGCGCATGTGCTCGCCAGAAAGACAGAGAGAGACAGAGAGATAGAAAGTGAGAAATCACCCCCCAGGGGTTGGCCACACCACAATCCCTTCTACTCCATTCTCCTCTCGGAATCTTGGGCATGCACACACATGTGCCCGGCATGAGTTTAAGCCACCAGGTCTGGGACTCGAACCCCAGTCGACTACATGGGAGTTCAGCGACATAGCCATTATGCTAACTACTAGTCCCATGTTTTTGGTTTTTTTAGAATTATTTTATTTAAAACAAATACAGTAAACATTTAGAGGCAGAAGAAAAAGGTGTTCTCAGAAACCGACGTGGTTAGTACACCTGCACCCACGTGTGTCTCCATTTCAAACCTGATCCCGGCCTGGCCTATTGAGGTAGACCGTTCAGAATAAACAGAGCTGGTTAGCAGGAGCCTGGGAACTGAACTGAGATGACACCCGGCCTCTGCGATTCCTGGGGGAACAGTTAGGATAAATCTCGTTGTGAGCTCTTACCACCACATGGTGAAGGGCATGGATTCTATTTTTGTCCCCAAGTCTTTTGCCCCCACTGTCACCACCATTCCTCTCATTACCTGAAGGCATTTGTTAGTCATTTAATTTGTTACCCAGTGAGTGAATAGACACCATGCAGAGTACTTTGAAGTACATAAAGAGGGGGCCAGCAGGTGGCATGGTGGTTAAGACACCGGACTCCCACGTGGCCGTCTGCAGTTAGGCCTGGACCTGGTGGCTTGAAGTCATGCCTGGTTTGTGTGTGTGTGTGTGTGTGTGTGTGTGTGTGTGTACGCGCGCGCGTGCAAGTGTGCGAATGCCTAGTCCCAAGAGGAGAATGGAGGAGACTAGATTGCAGCCTGTCATTCTCCTCCTGGTGGTGGTAGTGGGGGGGTGACTTTTCACTTTCCCTCTCACTGTCTTTACATTTCTCAGTGAGTACACGTGCCCTGTGGCAAAAGCCGTAGAAAAAAAAGTAATTCATAGAGAATAATCAACAATGATCAAATGAAAATCATTTGTAATGCCTCAACCTTTGTGGCAACTCCCCTTTTCTTTATTTTTTAAAATTTTATCAAGCTACTTGATTTGACACAAAAGTACAAAGAAGTTCTTGGTTTGGCTCGAACATGCCATGCTTTTTTGTGCCACCGTTATCCTAAACATTCTGTGTTCCCATCTGTCATGCGGCCAAGAGGTCTATGAACATGTCGCTGTTCTTGCTTCCTCACATGGCTGGGGCTTTCCTCCCTCGCTCAGTATCAAAGTACACATTCTCTCAAGGTGGTTTGCCCACCCTGGGCCCTCCCACCCCTGACCCTCTGCTGCTGCCAGCCTGACCCTTGAGGTCAGCCGATACCCCAGGGACGACCGGACTCTCATCTCCCACACTACTGTGATTCTCTTGTTTCCTGCCTTTTCAACTCAGCCTTCCAGCAAAATCCCAGTGATGAATCGGCCCTCCGTTGTGCATCTTCCTCCACCTGCACCCGGGCAGCAGGCAGTTCTGCAGCCAGGCCCACAGTGAGACACGCTGGCCGAGCTATAAACACGTAACCTCAGCACTCACCTCAGCTGACACCGTAGGAAAGTTTCGGAGGGTCTCGCCACCTCGCACTTCCCAGCAGACGACCCCATTTCCCACTTCAGTGAGAAACTGAACCAACCAAATTCTTCAACTTCTGGCCTCCAGACCTACAAGCTTCCCACCCGCTTCACATTGTCTCTGTTTTCCCCTTACTGTTGGGAAAAAGGTGTCTGGCCTCCTATCCAGGGCCAGCTCCTCTACCTGCACCTTGACCCTGGCCTTAAGGAGCCTTATTGGTTGGTTACCAATGACCCGTTCTCCTGGATCCCTTCTGTTGGTGTAGATACCTGCCATCTTAACACTTTTTTTTTTTTATTGTGCACATGTGCTCACAGGACAGAGACAAAGAAAGCAAGAGATAGAGAAAGTGAGAAACACTCCCCAGGGGATGGGGGATGGCTACACCACAATCCCTCTTCCTCCATCTCTCCTATTTGGACACATGTGCATGGCCTGTTTTTCTTTTAAAAAAAGAGGGTTTTTTGTTTTTGTTGTTGTTGTTGTTGTTGTTGTTGTTGTTTGGCTATAAGGGGGTGTGCAATCCCCAGAAAGACAGAGAGACAGAAAGTGAGAAATCCCCCCCCCCCGAGGGGATGGCAACACTGCAATCCCTTCTCCTCCATTCTCCTCTTGGGATTTTGGGCATGCACGCACACGTGCCCAGCGTGAGTTTGAGCCACCGGGTCCAGTACTCGAACCATGGTCAACTATGTAGGAGTCCAGCAACATAACCATTATGCCAACTGCTGGTTCCATGCATGGCCTGTTTTTCAGTATGCCAGGTCTGGGACTCAAACCGTGCAGTTGGCCATGCGGGGTCTGGCCTCCTTAACCACCACACCACCAGCTGGCCCTCTTAACAACAAGAGGCTTTCTCTGGCTCCCAGGTACCTCTGAACTGCGGCTCACTCTCTCTGTTACTTCAGAGCCAGACTTCTTGGAAGGGTGGTTTCCACCCACTTCCTTCATTTTTCACTTCCCTTTTGTTCTCACCTACTGAAGGTTGGTTTCCACCCCTCTCAGTCCTTGCAGATAGTTCTTACTCACAACCTTCGTGCCAGTAACCCCAGGGCAGTTGCAGTTCTCTTCGGGGACCTCCCAGGAGGCCTCTCTCTATTGACAACTTCCCTCAATGACCGCACCCTACCTCTGTCCTGGTTTTTCTCTCTTTTCTGAAAGATCACTTCCCCTATGATTTGTGGATGTCGAAGTTCCTCAAGGTCCTTCTCTCTCCTCATTCTGTATTCCATCTGTGGAGAGTCTAATTTCTTCCCTAGCTTTATACCATCTTTACATCATTGATGAACGCCAAGTAACGATCTGTAGCCTAGCCCTCCCCTGAGCTCCAGGCAGGCAGTCCAGGTGTCTCTGTGCCATTTTGACTCAGATCCTTCAGAGGCACCCCTGAATTAATGCTCTTCCATATCAAGCATTTCATTTTTAATCAGTGGCTCTACCGTCTGGTCAGAAAGCTTGGCGGAACTTCCCAGCTAAATCACCAGCAGAGTATGGGTGATCTCGACGTATTCGTTCACTCCTTATATGAGACACTACTGATACGAGTTTCCATCTCAGAGCATCATTGGGGTTGACAGTGCAGGTGTGTGGATGTTACGTGCTGTGCGTGCTGCAGACATACTCTAGGTGTGGACCTGAGGGCTCCCCGCAGGAGCTAGGTACTTTCCTTAGCTAGGTAAATAAGTGCACGTCACGGCCACAGCACAAAATTCTGTCTCCTACACCCACTTGTGTCCCTGGCAAGGCTTGCCCAGCTGGTCCGCATCTGTCTGTTAGTAGGTCACGGTTGGTCCCCTCGGAAGCAGCAAGTCCTGGGATCCTGATTTCCGTCGCTGAGTGCCACTGTGTCCGTGTGAGTGGGGGCGTGAGTGCACGTGTGCATGCTGCCCCACTTGCACCTGCTCCCATGGCCTGTGCTGCACACAGCCTGGACAGATCCATGCCGCCACGCAGCACCTCCGCCCTCTGAATTCCCCGAGGTCTCTGTGACAAGGTTGCTCTCATTCACAGGGTTTCGAGCTGACAGCAGGCCCGAGTGCCATTCTGTGCTCTGCAAAACTAGCATCTGACACAGACTGAGTAGCCCTCCTCTAAAACACTTGGGATCAGAAGTATTTCAGATTTCAGGTTTCCTTCTAATGCTAGGATATTTGCATATACGTGATGAGATATTTGGGGGATGTGGCCCAAGTCTAAGCATGAAAACCATGTATGCTGGTTTTTTTTTTTTTTTTCAGCGTTGCTATAAGGTACATGCGCTCCCCAGAGATAGAGAGAGAGAGGGAAAGTGAGAAATCACCCCATAGTGGGGATGGCCATGCCACTGTCCCTTTTCCTCCAGCTCTTCTCCAGATTTGGGGCGCACACATGTACCAGGCAGGTTTTTCAGGGTGCTGGGGTGAGGACTTATTGCACAGTCAGCTGTGTGGGATCCGGTCGCCTTGACTTCCACACTACACTGGCCTGGTTGATGTTCCATACACACCTTACACCTACCACGGAGGATAATATTTTTGTGATGCGGTATTTTGACTGCGACCCATCACCCCATAAGGTTGAGAACTTTCACTTTGGCATCATGTTAGCTCTCAGACATCTTAGCTCTTGGCGCATTTTGGATTTCAGATGAGGAGTATACCTATTGACTCCGTTTTCATTCAGAAGAGTCTCTGTGTTGCCCTGCCCCTCTGTGTTCTCTCTGACACTGGAGCACCCTCATATAATGAATTGTATTCATTTCCTGTCTTTATCATTTCCTGTCATCACTGATTTCTTGGTAAGGCAGCTATCAGGGTAATCCTTTGGTGAGGGTCGCTCGGTGGTATTTTTGATGCCTGTTTTACCGTGGTTATTGGGTCCTTAGGGTTCAGGTGGCTTGGAAGTAATCCCTGAGCCAAGCACCCTAGGTTTGCACTCAGTGAGTTTCCAGAGTCTTTGGGATGAGTAGCTCCACAAGGACTCTGGACAAGGTTGGGAAGGTTCATTCACTGTTAAATTTGCTTTAAGTCTGTACCGCTCAATAGCAATTGACACATGGTAATCTCATCTCTCCTGACTCTGGTTATTTCAGCCTATTCCAGTTTATAAGCTAATGTCTCCAGTTTTCATGGGGTTGTTTTGTAATAGTCATAGTTAGTGCTCTTTACTGCACTGTTAGGACTTCTGTGCTGTACATTGCCAGCGTTCATTTCTCCGTGTGCTGTCCTAATCACTGCGGCTCCTTCCTTTATGGAAGGTGACTTAGGTCCTCAGGGGTGGCTCATGTGCACCCCAGGGTTCAGCCTCGAGAGGGAAATGCTCTGCTACGTTGAGGGAGGGGGAGCTAGGAGGCCAAAGCTCCCAGATTTTTATTACTAACCTTAACCACGTCATTCAGAGGAGCCGTAACAGTGGACATTAGGGTGTCCCTCCTGCGAGACCTAAGGCCTGCGCCCCAGTTGTAGGAGCGTAACACAGTCTTGGCCCCAGTTTCAGTTCTGTGCGTCAAAGCGAAGTATTCGCAGAGGCCGTCTGATCCGGGTTTGGGAGGGTGGCCCTGAGCCGGGGCTCTCAGTTCCTTTGTCTTCCCGCTGACCCGTGCCTCTCTCTCCCCTCTCTCAGGTTGTTTTTGTAGCCATTTTGCTTCACAGTCACCTGGAGTGCCGCGAGCCCCTGCTCATCCCGATCCTCTCGCTGTACATGGGCGCGCTCGTGCGCTGCACCACGCTGTGCCTGGGCTACTACAAGAACATCCACGACATCATCCCGGACAGGAGCGGCCCGGAGCTGGGGGTACGACCGCACCCCTGCACCCACAGCAGCCCGGCCGAGACGCTCCCTGACGTGGGCAGTCAGACAGTCCTTGTGTCATTCTCAAAGGCCACGTGTAGGAAGGACAGTTGGGGAGTTCACTCCAGAGATGGAAGTGAGCTTAGCGGTCACTGTCCAGCTTCCTGATTGACATCAGAGGGGACGGACACACAGGTCATGTCAGGCCAAGGAGGAGACAGACACATTTAGGTTCCTCTCTCTCTTGAGAGTTATCCTATAGCCCACAAAGATTGTAGGACCCAGGGTGCCTTTGAATTCACATTTTATTACTTTTAATTTCTTCTTCTTTTTTTTTTTTTTTAGAAGTTTATGCTATATGGCACATGCGCTCGCCAGACAGACAGAAAGCTGCCAGGTCTGGGACTCGAACCACAGTCAACTACGTGGGAGTCCAGCGACATAGCCATTACGCTAACTGCTGGTCCCACTTTTAACTTCTTAGCTGCGATCCAGGCTTTATACTTTTTGCACCAGCCAGTCAGTTACCTCCTAGGGACCAAGCAGAGTACTGTCAGCCACAGAGACACAGAATCGTTTAATGTACACTTGGCTACCCTCGGGCAGCTTCACGTCCCCTCGGCAGTACCGAAGTGACAGTTAGATATGAGTTAGGGACACTCCAGCGTGAACGTAGAAGCCTGTGTGATTAGAGACGCAGCAGTAACGTGGTCTGAGAAGCGTCCTTGGAGGAGGTAGTGTTTGTCCTGAGCCTTGGAAGCTGAATAAGGAGCAAGCGTGAGTAAGACACGTCATCTTACACCAGCGAACACACGGTTCCGGTTACCATCGGTGTAAACATGTCCGACTGACATGTATATCCATCTCTCCTTTCCATAGCTATTAGGGATCATTGAGGCTGTTTCCACAAAGCTAAGAGGCAGGCAATGAGTGAGCACACAGATCTCTGAATAAATCGCCACGCTCCACCCCGATCTTGTCTGTGACCACACGTTACTTACCTCATGTCAGGATAGTCATTGTGTTGCCCATAAACGTGCATCTGAGGTCAGGCCGTTGGTGAGAGCCCCCCTAGTCATTTCCATCACTAGGCCGACCACATCAAATTGGACTTGACCTTAACAGCCCGCCTCTTAACATCGACAAAGGAAATAAATGAAAGTGGCTGAGCTGGTTTCTGGATGGAACCTCACCCCCGTGAAGAATCCAAACCAAAATTACACGATGAAGCCAGGCTTTCACCGTGCTGCACACCTTAGTGGCTGTTGCTTGTTATTACTATTATTTTTTACCATGTTTTTATTTTGCTTTTGCTTCTGAACAACTGAAATGACTTCTGTGAGAGATTTGAGAGGGAAGAACCCCATCGTAGATCCATACAGTGCCCAAGTAATGAGGCCTGTGTATATGAACTGATTCCAAAATAAATTATGATCGTTTTTTATTTCTGTAAGTTACCACTTCCTGACATAGCTTCAAGCCAGTTGGTCTAATGGCACAAACACTAACTTCAGACCTGTCTCTCGGGCCGTAGAGCTGGGAGCTACTTTGGTGAGCAGTTCCCTTATGGAGCACAGTGGTTGGGATCCACCATCACGCTTCAGCGCGTGGTTTGATTCGATAATAGCTTGCCCACTGCACGGGTTCATTTCTAATAAGACTCCATTTTATTTTAACTCATTGGAGCTTGTCTACAGAGGCTTGACCTCCTATTACCTTTAAAGGTAATTCACTTAAGTGTAGTGAGTTGACTTGTGATTAACATAATGTGGTGCTGAATTATTTTCCTTCTAGTTCTAGGGTTTCATGAATTTTTGTCTCCATTTCTGAATGTAGGGGGATGCAACAATAAGAAAGATGCTGAGCTTCTGGTGGCCCTTGGCTCTGATTTTGGCTACGCAGAGAATCAGCAGGCCTATCGTCAACCTCTTTGTCTCCCGGGACCTTGGTGGCAGTTCGGCAGCAACAGAGGTAGGAGGCTTTTGGGTCTTTGTGATTACCTGGGGGAGGGAGGAGAATCAAAATGTATTTGTAGTTCATCCAGAGCGCCAGTGATTCTGATGTCAAATTATTTGACAGGGTCACATCTGGCAGCCATGCAAATCTCCTTTAGTGACTTACACTCACATAATTTCATATTGTGATTATGGAAGGAAACACCTAAGTGCTCCTTCTCAGTCACCTCCTGGGGAGCTGAGCACAGAAAGGGAAGGTGAAACACACGGAACTCACTGGCGGCAAGGCTCACGTCAGCACCAAGGTCTTCTGACGCCCACTCCGTTTTCCATTTTCCATTTTCCCATGGAGTTGGTGTGTCACCATCTCTTTGCAGTGGACAGTGGCTCCGGCCAGATGGTAGCAGAGGGGGGAATAGCCAGTGGTGCAGGGTTGATGCCTGGAGGACAGTGGCTCCTGCCAGGTGGTAGCAGAGAGGGGAATAGCCAGTGGTGCAGGGTTGATGCCTCTCTCTGCCCTAGCCCACCCTCGCCCACTGTTCCCACCCCCGTGTGTGCCACCCAACCTTTCTAGCTTCACGTGCTCTTCGGCAGTCTGCCACCTCCAGATGGGGACTTCGTGATTCACTCAGTCAAGACCTTGCGGGCAGCAGGTGGCAAGGCAGCTAGATCCCACATGGCCAACTGCACAGTTGAATCCCGGACTTCATGGCTGAGGAACATGCCCGGTGCATGTGCGTGCTTGCCCAAAATCCCTAGAGGAGAGGAGAAAAGGCATATTCACTTTCTCTCTCTCCCTCTCTCTCTCTCTGTCTTCGGCAAGTACACGTACCTTATAACAAAAACTTTCAGAAAAAAGAAATTAAAAAGTCTTTTGGAAGCTGGCCCCTACTCCAAAGAAAGAGTTGCCTCATTCTTTCCTCCTTCAGGTTGGATGGGAGCAAACAGAATTGCTCCATGTGTCTCCTCCCCTCTGGCCTCGGAGAGCCAGTCGGTCACTGGAGCCGCCCGTCCTCCGGGAGGGCTGCCGGCCTCTCATTAGGGCCCTGCTCGGGCATTGCTCCGAGAGCGCGGCCTGGAGCCCTCGGAGCGCTGTCAGTGTGTCTCCCACAGGTCGGCGCTGCCAGTTTCCATGTCCTGGGAAGCAGCTCATGTTGGCTGGAAAGAGAACCCATAAATCAAAAGCAGAACGCTTTCTCTCGCCTCAGTTTGTTCCTGGATTTTGTGTTTTGAATCACAAATGCCATCTTGGGTGGCTTCTGTAACACACAGCAGCTTTTTACTGGAATATCTCCGCTTAAGTTTCGCAGGAAAAATTACAGGACGCCCTCACCTCCATGCTGGAATTCCATCTTCTTTAAAAAATAAGGATAGGGGTGGTGGGGGGGAGACCAGCAGTTAGCGTAATGGCTATGTCGCTAGACTCCCACGTAGTCGACCGCGATTCGCGTCCCAGACCCGGTGGCTTAAAACTCATGCCAGACACGTGTGTGTGCGTGCCCAAGATCCCGAGAGGAGAATGGAGGAGAAGGGACTGTGGTGTGGCCATCCCCCCTGGGGGTGATTTCTCACTTTCTGTCTCTCTGTCTCTCTCTGTCTCTCTGACGAGCATGCACACCCTATAGCAAAAACCTCTCCCAAAAAAAAAAAAAAAAAAAAAGCCTCTCCAAAAAAAGAAATGGTAAAAAATAAAACAATAAGGATGGGGCCGGCTGGTGGCATAGTGGTTAAGGTGGCCGGGTCCTACAGGCCGACTGTGCATCCAAGACCCAAGCTCAGGGGTGTGAGAAACACGGGAGGCACATGTGTGTGCATGCCCCATGTCCCAGGAGAACAGAGGAGAAGGCATTGTGGTGTGACCATCCCCCCGGAGGGTGTTTTCTCATTTTCCCACTCTGTCTCTATCTCCGGTGAGCACTCTCACACTAGAGAGAATTTTAAAATAAAATGAAAGGGGCCAGCAGGTGGTGTAGTGGCTAAGGCACTGGACTCTCACGTGTCCCAGACCTGCCCACTTGAAACTCATGCTAGGCTCGTGTGCATGCTTGCCCAAAATCCCGAGAGAAGAATGGAGGAGAAGGAATTGTGGCATGGCCATCCCCCACCCCCCCGAGAGGTGATTTCTCTCTTTCTGTCTCTCTGGCTTTCTCTGTCTCTCCAGCGAGCACACATGCCCTATAGCAAAATTCTCTCTCTAAGTAAATAAATTAAATTAAATTAATAATAAATATTAAAAATAGGGATGAATTAGATATTAGAGCCATTTCGGAATTGCCCTCCGTGACTAAAGGTGTGGTCTGTGGGTTCCAGAGCTAGTGTGCGTCGGCCATCTGTGTCCACATCAGCATTGGCGGGCAGCCCTGCGAGATGGGGGCTGTGGTGCATTGTTCCGTGGCAGGCACAGAAAGGGGGACCCCAGAGGCTCCAGGCTTCTCCAGCCAGTAAGTGGTGAGGTAAAGGTCCGGTTCCCGGTCTGCCTGAGTCCGGTGTTCCTGCCGTTCCACCACATCATGCCACAGTGTCCTCCCTCAGCTGGGGACTTGCCTCTTGTTCCTGGCACCACTGGCCGTGGCCGTTCTGTTCATTGCCACAGACAAAGCCAGCTCTACCCTCACCAACTTGTCAGGGAATCAGACTCTGCCAGGCTGTAAGGTTAGATGCTGGGTTTTCATTTTCACCCTTTGCATTCACTAAGGAAAAAAACCTTCTGGGCCAGGAGGCGAAGTAGTGGTTAAGGGACTCGTCTCCCACACGGTTGACCATGCTTCGAGCCCCAGACCTGGTGGCTTCGAATTCACACGCCTGTATGTGCCTGCCCAAAATCCCAAGAGGAGAATGGAGGACACGGGACTGTGGTGGGGCCATCCCCCCTGGGAGGGTTATTTCTCACTTTCTCTCTCTGTGTCTGTGGCGAGCACAGGTGCCCTATCACAAAGATCTCTAACAAAGAAAAGAATAAAAAGAAAAACTCCCACTTTCCTGAAACATAATGCTAGCTTCCTATATGAAATACTTGTCCAGTTTTCGTACACTGACGTTCTCAACTGGGCCATACAGATGCACAGACCAGAAGTGAGTCATGCTGGA